TTGAGCACCTATTTTTCTTATTGAGTGAAAACAGTAAGAACAAGTATCCTGGAATGCGAAAAGGTATTACCCGGTTTTGACTTCCTCGAATTTTGACAATTTCAGTGGTAATGAGAGCTCGTCCGGCTGACCCCTCTTGCCCAAGTGTGGTAGAGCTCCTCGAGCCGTCACAGGCAGTGGAGTTTGTGAGGAGGTCAGCGAGTTGTTGCGCTTTGAGTCTTTCATTTTCTTGCAATTTTTTGGACTTCGTTGAAAAATTTGTTAAGATGTGATGTCTGTGAGGTGGACTTGCACACTAAAGAAGCTAGTGATGCACACTTTTTGTCTGAAGATCACGAAACGGCTCAGGTTTGTCACTCTATTTCTCATCTCTTGCAAAACTAGGCGGATTTGGGAATGATCTTCCATGTACCGAGTATGTTCCGAGCAGGTGCCATGGAATTATTTCCATTGCCACTCTTTCGATTTTAGCTGACACTTCCTCTACCAACCGCAGTGCACGACGCCATTGATCACTCGATGATGCCTACGGCTGCTGTTCCATTACAAAGGTGGTTTAACAAATTGTATATGGTGCTCTTTATCTGGAGAATTTTCCCCTCTTGTTGTTTGATAAATCGCTAGTAAGTTTTTTCAAAAAAACTTGGTTTCATATTTCTGTAAATTTCCTTTCCACCTAGACTACGAGCGCTCTCGCGACTGCAAAATTTGCCGTGACGCGTGAATTCGACTTACTAATGCTTGAAAGCGCTCTGCGTTCAATCGAAAAACGAGGAGAATGACATACAGTCTTTTCGCTGAGGACGAAGGGGCGTGTTAGTCGGGATGAACCTGGCACGGCGCCACCACTTGTTGAAGCTGGCAAATGGCAAGACTGTATCATATATCTATTATAGTATCACTCATTTTTACCAGCTGTTGTCGCATACCCGTTTCAACAACTGGCAGAGAACGGGTTTGGCGCCGTGGCACACTCATACTGCCTGACACGCCCCTTCATCCGCAGCGAACTAGAGTATATCTCAAGCACTCCGTCTTTTTCAGCCTGTATAAACTTTTGATTTAGATGGAGGCCGAGGGTAATGGGCGGTAGTGCTGTCTGAACCCACAAGTTTCACATTAGCTGCTCAATCTAGGGTATTGACAGCGGAGGTGGGGCACGGTCAGAACAATGGTGGTTTGTCGCGCCGTCGCGTGCGGCGCGGCGCGCGTTAGTGGGCGCGGCAGTTCGAGTAATGTGTTCCATAAGGCAAAAAAGCCAAACCCTCGAACTTATTTCACAACGAGAAGAAAATTAGCCTCGTGAACCAAAGAAGATAAGGGAAGTATCTTTGCTTCTTTAAAATGCTGCTGTTTCAGGAAGGATGAGCGAACAGATTTCACATGCAAGCTGTGTGGAAGGAAATTTTTGGACATGGAGCCGTTGGTGGCTCACATTCGATTAGAGCACGAACGTGATCATCCACCGGGAATCACTCGTCCAGCAGCCAGGACGGCTCCGATACACTAAAAATTCTATGCAGTCACTTTACTATTCGTCTGTGATGGGATGCATCATGCCATTCGTACTTTCCTTGTCATATGTTTTACTGGTTTTTAAAAGATCTATGTATCGATTCCATAGTTGTTGATCATTGTCTATTGAAATACTGGTTTAGCTCTAAGTGCTCCGCTCTAAAGTTTGTGGATTTTTGTCTCGATTTCCCATTATTCATATTTGCTCAGTAGTGAATGTGTTATATTTGTTGTTTCCAATCTAATGAGATTGAAGTGTAAAGCTTTATCATCTGCTTCTAGGGTGAGTTCGCAGCATTCCGAAAATAATTCGCACATTATCTATAGTCTAGATCGCTGCGGATGAAGGGGCGTGTCAGGCGAGATGAATTTGGCGTGGTGCCAATCCCCGTTCTCTACCAGTTGCTGAAACGAGCAAGTGAGAAGACTGTATGAAATCCTTCGTTTTCTACCATTTGTCCCCGCACACAGCCTTCAAAAACTGGCAAAGAACGGGCTTGGCGCCGTGGCACACTCATACTGCCTGCCCTTCATCCCCAGCAAACTATAGTATAGACCCGTCTTCTACAGGGGGGGCCAAAAAAAAGTCATTCCGGCCGAGTCACATATGAGCGAAGTTTTCGCAGCCCAGACAGAGGAAGTGGATATGAGTACCAGGGCGGAAGATACCCAAGATCTTCCTCTATAAGCAGGAGCCATTCACCTTCATGTACACCAAAATATGAAGTCATCTCCAGTCGCGGCCTGAGTGGAGAACGCCTTTGGAATTCACGTGGCCTCCAAACAGCTGCGGAACTTCTTGAATGGAATCACCCATGGATAGCTACCTGGAGACCAGTACTCTTGATCTGCAAGACCTCAAACATCGAGCAGCTCCGGCAACGTCGCTACGGTCCAGGACATCATCTTCACCCCATTCACCAAGGCGCGGGTTGATGGTGTGGACCGGCCGTACCTGGAATGGATGAACCGATATTTTCTTCGTGGGCCCCAGACTGAGGGTGTGCGCTGGTGGCTACATCGAGCAACTCGAGGAGAATATCCCATCTTCATGTCGTCGCCCGTACCTTCTTGGAAACTTTGTACTGCTACAGGATTGGGTGACAACACATTTAATCGAAGAGCGGCATTGGAAAACTTTTGCATACTTGCGATGGAAAGCAGCGTTGAGTACCTCGCGAAAGATTGAGTTACTTTCAGCGGGGTTTTTAACTAAACTGCCTCAATCTAACTTCATTCGGGGCGGAGCTCAGGCAGTGGTCTACAGTGGCGGAGAAATCAACGATCTCGCTCAACTCCGGTACCCACTCACTTTCGCGCGGCCGAATCTCTCGATGGCGCTCCTCCAGAAGGCTGTGGCGGAGTTGACCATTAATATTAATGTGCTCTTTAATATGGTAGTAAAAATGTCCGATAAAAATTTAATAAAGTGTAACTTATAGCGCCTTGAAAGTCATGGAGGCAAAATGACTTTTTTTTGCCCCCCCCTGTATATGTAGCTCGCTTTTTACCTAGGACTACAGTCCTTCACATGCGGACCGGTGGGGCGTGTCAGTGCGGCTGCGTTTGGCGCGGTGCCAAAGTCGTTCTGCACCAGTTGTTGAAGCGGGCAAGTGACATTACTGTATTAAGTTATCCCATTCAAACACTGCCCGCCGCGTTTATTGAATGCAACAAACAGAAAAATGGATAAAAAGTAATATTTTAGCTCCAGGTCAAATAAATCCTTCCTTCACCAATGACCGGCTCCAGTGCCCCGGAAGCCTTTGGACCTCTGGGTCTACCTTCGATTTTTCAACAAGTGTGGGTAAATTGCTGTTGATGCCAATTTCGGCAAATGACAAAGCATTGTAGCGTTTGCCGTCAGAGAGTACCCTCGACTGACCAGATCAGTTGGAATCGAACGGCTTTATGTTGAGCGAATGGGGCGATTGAACCCAGGTCTCAGTATTGTTTGTGTCCAAACACTGCCCTACGATAAGTTGATTATTAGGTCTGCGCACAATGACGCAGCAACCGATAGCCTTCTTGGGGTTGTTCCGGTGCCATCCATTTGTGAAATCTAGATGCAGCCGTGAACAGGCAATATACTGATTGCCGGGGAACAGGGAATATACACCGACATCGACGATTTCATTCCCTGTGTAGAGCCGCCCGAGAGCCACAGTGTAGGAATCCCTCGCCATGATGATCACCCACTTGCACCCACGCAACTCCTCATGGTAGAATTTGGACGGCTTCTCATCTGCATTGATACAAAATTGACGATTGTGAGTTTCGGCTGCTGCAACTCGCGCTACGATTTCGGTCACCCTCCTCTCCTTAGGCCCCTTATCGAATCTTATCAGGTTATCACCTCTGTCACCACAGACGCACACACAGACACACACATACACGGACATAGCCGATTATATATATCACCCACCAAAGGTCGTTTCCCGTCCTGCGTGTATATCACTTCTTGAACTGCCATTCTATTTTCTCTGCGAACTCGCTCGCTTCATGAATTTCGCTGACAGATAGCTTAGACGCACATCAAAGACACACACGACGGACAATAGCCGATTATTATTGTATGTACGGCAGGATGATTTAACATGCCTATGCGTTCATTCTACGATCTCGAACCTCAGCCAACGACAGAGAGCTTCCGTTCCACTTTCGGGTTGGATGTTCGCATGTGTGTTGGGTGGTGATGCGTGGTGCGGTGGCTGCCGTAGTGAGAGAAAAGCGGATAGCGAAAGGACTCCTGCGGTGTCATGCGTCGTTCCAGGACGAAGCCTCGGGAGGGGGATCTCTCGGCGCCCCGGTCGATTGCGAATGATGTACATACGCACTGTCAATTACATCTCACTATTTAATGCGTAATGCTAGAAAGACTACGCAGAACTTTTTATCCAGTGCATTCCTGAAAGACGCCATTTCATGATTGTTGATGTTTTTTTGCACAGAAGACTTGCCGAGTCATCTAGCTAGGCGTGCTAGCTAGGTCACACTCGCTTGACCTGAAAACGCCTCGTGCAAGTGCTACGGGCACCAGCTCCAAAACTAGCGACGTCGCTGCCTATGGGCATCATTCTCGCGTAACGTGCCAAACCAGTCAAACTGTCTTGGGTAAGAAACTATGGCCGAATGCACACTCGAGGAAAAATAGCGGACAAAAACGGCTTGAATTTTGATCGGCGAGGAGATATTAGCACCGTCGGAGTTTTTGTTTCTTTTATTGTTTTACCCAAGGTGTCGATAAGACTGCGTATGAAGCTGTAGCTTAGTTTTGCTCACTGTAATGAACGAGAATTTGTAAAAGGAAAGAACTGCCAGTCATTCCCGTTATGGGCACACACAGAGCCGCAACGTGGATTTGAAGACCACCAGAACGTCAATCTCAGTAATGCCTTAATTGGATGCTTCACGCAATAATTACAGTATGCCGGCAACTGCCACCATTACGGGATCAACGATTTCGTTTTGTCCTTAGAGGAATTCCTTCAGCTTGGCATCGCAGCGTACGAGGCAGACTTCGTATTTTGCAAGAGGACTGCTGGATCCACATATAGGCCTCGCCAAAGCAATACGTTAATGTTCGGGGAGAGCGAGGGGATGGTCTGACGAAGCGATGACGCGGGAGTGAGTGCATGGGGCGGGGGTCCGGGAGGTGGGATCGTGAGTGAGAATTGCTTCTCGTACTGGCATATAACCGTCCACGTTTCATTTCATTCATAGTAGGCAAGTATGTGTGCTTGTATATCCGAGATGAGGAAGGCGCTGGCTGCGTACTCTTCATTCGAACAAGGGCGGCGGCCTGCGATTTCGGACGGTACGCTGCGTTGTTGTAACGACTGTTAATCAAGTCTTCTGTCCAGCACAAAGCAGGGCTACAGCGAAATATCCCAAGAAAAAAGCATTCTCAACGTGCTCAAATGAAGTGCTCAGAGCTACTCCCTGCTCGTCTCCGGGATGCGCTGGTATACTTTGAGGACATTTTGTAAGATTCGAGTTAAGAAATCCAGGGTGGGTGGCCGAAATCCTCTATGTAAAGAATGTTGTCGGATATTATGAACTGATTTTTATCCTCAAAAAGCTTTTTATCCTATCACGTCAGCCGTGCCACAGGAAGTTGTTTGGCAGTGAAAAATAGAGGCTGCAACACTATGTAGACGGGGCTTTTCTCGTAGCGCCCTTTTTCGCCTGGAAGTTAGATGCCGAATGCACGTCCCTAGTCAGCATCGTTGCAATCTGTCGGGCGGCCTGAAGAGGGGTGGGATGAGCCTGCCCCGGTAGCATTATCAACCATGGGTGATCGGTAATGATCAATTCAGGAAGAAAACAACCAGTGAGGGGAAAGTCCGCGATTGGACTCGCTTCATGCCGTTTGACGACCTCACCGACTGACTGTCACGAAATCAATTGTACGAAAATCTTCGAAAGCTTTTTTTTCGCAATACTAATAGTTTTGGAACTAACTGTTTCTATAGTGCTTCCGGTGCCACTTTATTCTAATCGCGATAATGTTTATTGATCCGATTGGGTCAAAGTGTCGAAACAATTATGTGATTAGCTGGCAAGTCGCGTCGGCATATGGTATTTCATCGGAGCGCACCCTTTCATAACTGAAGGACCAGGTGTGAAGAATGGGCAACGGATTACGGTAATGTCAGCTGCTCATCGTCATTTAGTTTGTCCAGTGCAGTCGTTGAGGCCATCCATGTGCACATGACGATGAGACGGTCAAGTGCAGGTGTTAATTACTCTCTTAGGCGTGGAACTTGACCTTCACAGTGATTAGGTAGTAACGAGAAGCTCTGCATGTGTTGATAGCCGATCTATCTGTCTTACGCTCTGTTTCCATGACTATCGATTTACTGATCAAATGAGCAGTGCGTTGTGTCCACATGGGCACTAGAATAGGTGAAATAAGAGAAGCCCCTCAACTGGAGTACCTGTTTTACGTGAGGCGATACCGTATCGCTGTGGTTATTCGTGTGAAGAGATGTG